TTACTCATTAACCGCGCGGTCCCGAGTGCCCGAGGCGGTGACTCCGGAGCCCTGTTACTTGTAGGCGGGTGAGCGCGGCCCGGAACTGGGGGCTCGGGGTCGCGGAGGGATAAAAGAGTTCTCGAACTAGTCGCAATTCGGTAGCACCGTGGAACGCCGCTCGGCAGCTGGTACAGAATGAAGCTTGGGTCAGGGGTTCTTTCGTGCCCCGCTGTCGGTAAACGACGCGCAGGGCACCGTGCCCAGGCGCAGAGGCCACCCTCCGGAGGTTTCGGTGAAACCAAGTGGGAAAGAGCAAGCGTCCGGAGTCCGCCTTAGGAAGCAGCTCTCAGTTCAGCCTGACTTTTATTTGGGGGAGTTGAGATGAGCTGCACAGACGTAATTGTAATCACACCGTCTTCCCTGCGTTGACAACTCTTCCCGGTTACCCGGGAAAAAAATGAGCGTGATTGTTCTAGAAGTGATGATGCTGCGTGGAATCCGCCGCACTTGAAGAGTTGCCAGTTGTTATGGGATTAAAAAAATATATATACCTGTAATGGCTAAAGGGTAAGCTCTTGAAAAATAGAAGCGCTGAAATAATACTGATTGCTGACAGGCAGTTTAGTTTCGTGGAAATGGTACCTGTTCCGGGGCTGCCTGTTATATGTACACTCTTCTGTTTTCTCTCAATTCCTTCTTTTCAGTGTCCGGAAAGAGCCAGTAATTTTTTTGCTGTGGAATGATTGCATAATTGGAGAGGCCGATAAGAGGATTATAACAAATCTATTGTAAGTTGAAAGACCCGGTTTCTGTTCATTGTCCTTATTTTGTTGTTCATGCACGTTTTTTTAAAAAATGGTGAATGATAAATCAAGGAGAAAAGAGGCAGAATAGGTTTGTAGACCAATCATACTAAATATTTGATACTGTTAAATATTTCACCAGTTTTGTGGGTCCCTGTTCTGTTACCGTTTGTTATTTATTTACTAGTGCTATGCGTTTTCATAGGACTTTTTCATGTTTGAACAGACATTGTATTCCAAATATGGTTTATGTGATCTAATCCTAAAGCCCTTGTGGAATTTATAGAAATAAACTTCGCAGTTATACAATTTTACTACAATAGTGTTTCTTACTACTAGAGGAAAAACCTTTTAAGTTTTTTTTTTTTTTTCCTGTTATGGTAATGTAGTATATTAATGCATACCTTTGTGAACCGAAGTATTTAATATAATTCTTCCTTGTGTGTTTGGCCAGCAACTAATCTGTTTTATTGAATATCTTTAACCTTTTGTTTTTGGTGTTTTTTTTTTCTTTTTAATCATTAATTTTTTTTTTAATTGAGACAGAATTGGTTGTGTATGTATTTGTGGGGGGCAGAGTTGACTATCAGTATTTGTGTACAATTTGTGATGATCAAATCAGGATAATTAGCATATTCATCATTGGAAAATGTAACCATTCTTTGTGTCCATTAACCAATTTCTCCCTAATACTCTCCCTTTCCCACCTCCAGTAACTACATTTCTTGTTCAACCTATTATTGTGATCTTTCTTTCTCTCTTTCTCTCTCTTTTTCTTTCTTTCACTTTCAGCTACTTACTGTATAACCTTCAGTAAATCATTTAACCTCTCTGAACTTATTTTCTCCATTTGTAATTGGAAATAGTGTTAGGTTGAAACATACAAAATTGCCAACACTATGCTGTTTTTATGTTTCAGCCTAATTTGTACTTCATAATGGTGGGATGAGGATTTAATGCTATATTCTATCTGAGATTTAGGGTCGGGGGAAGAAACAAACATTAGATTGACAGTGTGTCAGGCACTGTGCTTGTTGTTTTAGAAACCTCGACTCTTTAGTCCTCAGAACATTCCTGGGATGTAGGTGGTTTAGCAAATTTTACAAATCAGGAAATTGAAGCTCACAGAGTTTAGATAACTTGTCTAGCGTTACTTAGTTGTTAGTAGTCAAATAGCTGGCTAATGGCAGAGCCAGGATTAAAAACTGTGTGACTGCTCAAAATGGAACTCTTAATGCTCTTGTTCCTTATGTTCCTGGTCTACACCTTCTGTAAAAGAGCTTTGTGACTATAAGTAGGCACACAGATGAAAGGTGTTATCCTTTGCATTTCTGGTTAAAAATAGCCAAGTTTTCTGATGATGGTAGTACCACCACTGCTACTACTACTATTGAATAGTGAGGTGTCATATGCCAAGTCCTGGTCTAAGCACTATGCTCACTCATTTACACTTACAGTGAGCCAGAAGAGAGGTAATACTTTATATCCCTATTTTATGGTTGAGAAAATTGAGACACTGAGAGGTTATGCAGCTTGTCCAACGTCACATAGCTAATTAAGTGACAGGCCTAGATTAGAAGTCAGGCATTTTGTCTTCAGTGTCTGTGCTCTTGACTACTACACTCTACCACTTCTTCATGTATAGGTTGTAGTGCTGAAGAACTGTTTGCTCTTAACCAGTACACTGTACCACTTCATGTATAGGTCGCAATGCTGAAGAATTGTTTTTAATTTAGCTTTTATGAGATACTTAATATTAATGTAATATGTAATTCTTATTGTGTTACCAGAGATTTTGTTAATCAAATATTCATTGAGTATCTACTCTGCAAATCACAGTGGGGGTTAAAGGAAAGTATTCATAAAGAGTCTAGAAGGTAGGGCCACATAATCATTCCCATATCTTTTATGAATTCCTCAAAATTTAGAAGGCACCATATATATACACACACACACACATTTTAATGAGTGCCAAATAAGACAAAGTATTAAAATAGTTGAGTAGTGGGAGGAAGGAAAGATGAGTAGTGGGTAGAGGTATTTGTGCATTGAGGTGATGAGGGAAAGTTTTGAGGATATTCTGAGGGAGAATACTTTTCAACCTAAACTTTTGTCTAGTATAATTTTTGTTAAGATTGGTTACTGTACACCTGATACCTGAAAAATAAAATATCAGTTTTTGAAGACTCCTTTCTAGCTAGTTTCTTCTTTTCTGTACTACTGTCCTTAGCTGTACCATATAGTACTTTTTTTTTTTTCTTTCATGCTATTATAGCACTGAGTACTTGCCTCTGTTTTGGTATTAGTTTTGATATTCGCATTGTATTTGTAATGGATTCTAGGTCACTAGAAACATGTTTATTGATGAGATACTCTCTTCTTCAAGTCTACAACTGCTTTGAAGGCAGGATTTAAGTCATCTTAACTCCATTTTATAGCTTTAGCTTTGAGCCTGTTAGGTACTGTGCTATGTTTGGTGATGGATGGTAGTTGAAGAATGTTAGGATGTATTGAAGTTGATCTAACAGTAGAAATTAAAATGAGTGTTCAAAGTGAGAATTAAGGGGACTAAGGATGGAAGAGAGGGATACTAACAACAGGTAGCATTAAGGTTCTGTCTCTATTTTTTCCTTCTGCTTTCTTTTTCAACTTACAACTAAATGATGTAGTTTCATAAGCTTAAGTGGTATGTAGTTATGATTAGAAAAAAGTGAAAAAATTATTTTGATTTATCTTAGAATATTGGCAATACAAAATTAAATCGCTATAGCCACAAGCTAAGATTACTTAGAGGAAAAATAATAAAAATTATTGAAATAGTTCATGCTCACGAGAAATTTGTTGCTTGAGGTTAACAACAGGATTGTAAACATAAGCATAGTGGAAGTTGATGAAATTCCTCTGGTAGGTGTGAATATATATACACTTAAGTATATGAATTGACAATCTAGTACAAAGAAACTCTGTTCAAGAATGTGAGAGTTCACTAGAAACAAAGGATCATATAGCTTAGAACCAACTGAATAAATGAATTGTGATTTGATGCATCCAGATACGAGTAATAATATCGAGTATTTGTTTTAGGGTCCATGGTTGATAGGTCAAGGTAAAATAGAAAAGAATAACCAAAATAAGTCTGAAAAATAACAAGGAAATATGCATTAATTAATTGCCTGTTGGGAAGAGAATCTTATTGGAACTATATACCTCAGAAAGATTCATTTTCTCCTTTCTTCCTCTTTATCTCAGATATCTAAGGACATCTTCTGATTTGTAAGACAAACCCCTCAGTATGCTTTTGCTGTTTTCCATCATTTATTCCTTCTTTCTTAGGTCTTTATAAATATAATACATTTATATTGTGCTTTCAAATCTGCAAAACATTTTTATGTTGGTTATCAAGCCATTTGATTTTCTCATATGTAGGCAGGGGAGATATTATCACCACCATTGTAGACGTAGAAACTGATGCTCAGAGATTAAGTGACTTGCCCAAGTTTGCACAGCTAGTCAGTGGCAGAATCTGAACTAGAGGGAAGATTTTCTGAGGCTAGTCTAATTAAATGCTAACGTTTCCTCGAACTTTAAGTATGCAATTTCTCCAGTCTTGATACTTTCTCAAAGTACTTACTGTTTTACCTCTATCTTTTTCAACAAAGGCAGCCTGGAATAACTCTCCATGCTTCACTGCTTTTCTATTCATTCCCTCGCTAAAGACAGTTGTTTTTTGCTTATTCAATCAATTCATACTTCAGTGCCTAGTGAATGTTTAGTTGACATAATTCTTGCATATTAAAATAAGGAGACTTCCACCATTAAGAAAAAAATTTGGGAAACTATTTTTTTGTATTTGTGTTAATGATTTGTAATTAAATACAGTATAATACTAGTAACCTAGTAAGTTCAGAGCATTTTCTGAAAACCCTCAATATAAGAATCTGTAATAACTAACATCTCTAAGTATGTCAGGTTGTACACTCCAGTACTGCGGAATTAGCAAGTGGAAATTAATCTATGGTCTAATTTATTAAAAATGACAAGATTGTGTAGCTTGATTGACCATTTGACTGATTTTTCCCTTGGGTTATTAATGAAATTCACACTTAGAATGCTTCTTAAAATGAAAATGAGGCTTTTGTTTGTTATAACCAAAATGTTAGCTTGGTAAGCCAATTTAAAAATTATAATGGAAGTTAATGAAAAAATTATTTTAGATATACTTTTTTGTTTTGTATTTTACTGTATTTATTTATATAGTTTTTGAATAAATCTCAGACTTTTTTTTTTTGAGAGCATTCTAATTATGGAAAATCTCAGATAAAATAAGTAGACACAATAATGTAATGAACCTTAAATCATCAACAATCAACAGTGGTCATTCCTGCTCCATCTACTTCTTCCTCTTCTATATTATTTTGAAGCAAATTTCAGGCATTGTATAATCTGTAGATGCTTCAGTATTTTTCAAAAAAAATAAGGGCAGTTAAGTCAATACTATTACAAACTTTAAAAAGTACACTAATTGCTTAGTATGAAATATCCACACTTTTTTAATACACAGGAGTAAGGCTACTATGTAGGAAAATCAAGCTTCTGTTTATTTTGATTTATATGCTGTTTTTCCCAGGTCCTATAAGAAGCTGAATAAGTATTTCAAATCCTTGCAAAGTAGCAAAATAGAGGAGGAAATGAGGATAGCAAAAAGAATACAGGGAAAAAGAATAGAAAGGACACAAAGCAATAGCAAATATTCATTTCAGTAGCAGTGCATTAGAGAAACTTCAGTTGTCTCATTCTAAAAGTATGACAAGGTTTCAGAGATTAAACAGTATTCTTCTGTTTTGATTATTCACTTATGGTTGGTATGAGTGAGACTTGCCTTAGAGATCCTTTGTCTTTATCTAACCTTTATCTGCTGCTCCTCCTTTCCCACCACCCCCCACCATCATTTTTACCTTTTAAGTATATCTTAGATGTGGTGGAGT